CGTGCGTTGGCCGACGGGGACTCGGCGGACTCTTTCATGCAGCTAATGAGTGTGCGACCAGTGCAACCTGCTGGAACCTTCCTGGAGGTCCGTGTCAAGTGCGAACTGCCTCGGTTGTGGGCGGGCGCCAGGTCACCATTGCAGGTCGCTTAATGGAGTACAACGCATTCTGCCGGCCAGATGCGGCGAGTTTGACCCGCAGCTCTTTTCCTACCCGGGCAAGTACAAGGGCACCTTCCGTCTGATGCTTCCGCTGGGTGACGCAGCCTTGGGGCTGCAAGCGCAGCCATCGCTCCCGATACATCTGTATGGAGCACTGATGCGCTCCAGGCGGCTACTACGACCGATGGTTGGCATTTGCAGGAGGTTATGGCCTTCTGGCTTCGTGGACCGAAATTTGTCGCGGAAGGTGGCTTGCCGACGGCCGACCTTCTCCATTTATTTCTACGAACTTGATGCCGCATCTACATATGCCCGATATCGCTTCACTTCACTCTATTCCGAGCGAAATCTTGCGGGAGAGCCACTTCCCCGACGGCCGACGCGAGGTGCAGCAAGCTTGATGAGTGTCTGCGATGGCAAGTACCGCAGCACAGTGAGTGGTGCCCGTGCGTGCCACTCTGCACCACGTTGGCCTCTCGTCCGGGCTACGACCAGTGTCGCACCATGTCGATCCTCGCATTTGGATTTGTGGCTGTGTGCACGATCGTGAGGCAACAGAACCGCGGGGTCCGTTTGACGGGACTAGAACGGCTACCGGAGCTCCGCTTTTGGGCTCCACCCCGCTGGTTTTGGGCGATGTGTGGCGACGGCCGCATGTTGCTGCTGACCGGTCGCTGAGGCACCGTAGTTTAGCTGAACGGCCCCATGCCAAGCCCTGGGCACCGCGGCTTCGCGTAAGTAGCTCTCTCCACTGTGTTTCACCGCTGTTTTCGTTTGTTTGTTCGGTTTGTTTGTTTGTAGGGACCGAGAGCTGCAGCCGCAGCCAACGAGGCCCGCTCAAGCCAAAAAAACCATGTGGGATGGAGCTTTCTTCGCATGGTTACTTAAGTTGTTTGTCTGCCCTGAAGAACCAACACCTGCCAGCAGCGAGAGCAAAAGTGTTTCAAGTCGAGTTTTATTTCACGTCTGAACAAGTAGAGAATTTCATGCAGAACGGGGTTTGTGGAGTGCTTGAAGTGCGTGAAGTGATTCGCAGAAGCACCAGTGTCTCTGAGGGGCCTGAGTTGGTTGTGCGAGTTTGGTTGCAAGCTGCAGTTTGAAAGCGTGAACGAACTGCTTGGCTCAAGGAGTACAAGGTGTGAAGCCCAGCTTTCCCAAGGGCCTCGCAAGGGCAATCACTGGCAAGGTCTTGTACGAGGCAAAGGTCTTGGCAAGGGATCTAAGCACACTGGTGTCGCAATCGTAGCATGTTTGTGCAGCCCGCGGCTGCATTCAGCATGTAGAATGCAGCCGTTCAGCCCAGATGCACAACTTTAAGTACCGACCGCACCCGTGGCCAAAGAATGTGTGAAGCCCAGCTTCCCTATGTGGGGCTCGCAAACACGAGTGAGAAAAAGAAGTCTGAGTGCAACGCTTCGCTTTGCAATTTGTCCGAAGCCACTTCGTGAAGTTTGTTTACCGACTGGGAGAGCTGAGCTTTTGGTTGCAACTTCAAGATTTTGAACTTGGTTGTGACGGTCTGGAAGTTTTTCGTGGTAGCGGAGCTCCTGGCTACTCGAGGCCTTCCGCTTGCAGTGCTGTCAGAGTCGACGCAAGTATTGCGCCGACCGCCCAGGTCCAAGGCCAGTACTGCGGTCGACCAGGCCAGAGCTGCTAGATTTCTCTCGAGGCACAGCGATCATTCCGTTCAGGTTTCATTTCAGATTGCATTAGACCATACCGTACCCGCTGGAGATAGTGTCCACGTTGACTGAATCTGGTTCCGTGTCTGCTGATTTTCGAAAAAGTTATCAGATTGAAGGAGAGTGCGCGGTTTCTTTGGTCCGTGTGCGTGCTGCACTTTGGCTTCTGACTGGCTCCAAGACTGGGAAAAAGAGATTCGACGAACTTTGTACAGCTGCTGCCGCTGCTATACTGCTTTGGCGAGAGCACTCATTGTCTCCCACGTGAGTGCTTCTGAGCAAGGAATGAGGTAGGCCTGGCCGCTCTGCAAAGACGTGCTTGGTTGTTGCTTGAGAAAAGCGTGAGTGACAATGAGAAGACCAGTGTCTCTGCCAGCCGGTAGGGATGACTCTTCGTTGTCCAGGTGGGTGGTGGAAGCCGTGGAAGGAACCGCGGTCCTCCTAGAAGGCCTGCTGACTTGCCTTTGCAGACTCGAGGTCGTTCGCCTTCAAGGGCTCGTGCTCCTTCGAGGGCGCCTTCAAGGACCTCAGCAAGCAACTGCCGAGGTTCTGCAGCCTCTAGTGGGGGAGCTTCTTGAGGAAGGCCGTTCAAGCCTCCTGCATTGTCCCGCAGAGAGCGCCTACGCCTACCCCGAGTGCGTTTGGTTCGCCTACGGCACCACAGCAAGTGCAACAGCAAGCGACGAGTTCTGGAAGTGCACCACAGGTGCCCCCTGCGACGCAGCCTACTGCGCCAACTTCTGGAGCTTTTACTGCTGACGCGGCCTTGAGTGTGATCCAGGCCCAGTCGAGCCAGATCCAAGCGCAGTCTGCTCAGATCACCGAGTTGATGCAGATTGTGAAGGGTCTTGGAAGACTTCAAGAGCAAACTTTGGCTGCAGCTAGCCCTAAGGCTGCAGAAGAGAAGAGTGGTGAAGAGCCTGCTCCAATGGAGGTCGACAAGGACACCGGAGGAGTGAGGCACAACAAAGCAGAGCAGTACTTGCCAAAGATTCCCATGTTGAACTTTGAGAAGATGGTTTCGCGGTCCAGCGAGATCAACTACCCAGTTTGTTGAGGGAATCAGTTCTTGGCTTGCGTTGTTGGACGACTTCTACCCCGTCGAGCTTTACAGGGCGAGCATCACTGAGACAGTAGTGCGACAGAACACCTTGGAGAAGGGACCAGCTGCGAGAAGCGCACGGTTCCACAACTTGTTGAAGCAGAGCTTGGGAACGTTCCAACGTGGACTGGACATCGTTCGCCAGGCAGAGCAGCAGCAGTTGGGGTCAGCTTGTGGGTACGAGGCCTTCAGAAAGCTGAACCTGGAGTTCGGGATACAGTCCCGGATGGAAGCGAGTGCGATCAGAGAGTCTGTCCTGAACTACCGTCCCGGAAAACATCTGCAGCGCCCGTTGGACATTTATCGGGCGGTTGAAGCAGAGCTCTTGAGAACAGACAGGAATTTGAGTTCCTATCCGTCTGTGCGCCTGTCGGAAGCCGAGAAGGTGATGCTCCACTTCAAGTGCATGCCGGAGAACTGCAAGCACTACGTTCTCCTGCGCGGGAAGAGTGAGACTCTTGAACAGGTCCTTGCGTCGATCAAGTTCTATGACTCCCACCTCCGGCTCATCGGGTATGAGAAGGAGACCGGGAAGGCCGCTTGGACTGAAGAGATGGTGGCTGCCTTCGAGAAGGGCAAAGGAAAAGGAAAGAAGGGAAAAGGAAAGGAGAAAGGAAAAGACAAGGGCAAGAGCACGAGCCCAGACAAGAAGGGAAAAGGAAAAGGAGAGAAGGGAAGGTCGCAGTCTGCTTCGCCTACCAAGGGGAAGTAGTAAATTAACGCTTGCAGTTGTGATTTTGGGGTTAGGCCTGGCAAGGCTTCTCCATGGATAACTTGATGAGACGTGTGAGAAGGGGCTTCAGTCACAAGATCGCGTGTGTGAAATTGGGAAGCGGTTACTGCGCTCCAGGAATGCCCCTGCGACGGGGTTTGGAGTTCTGATGTGATGGCGGTGACTGTCCACGGATCGGGGGCCTTTGAGGGATGACTGTCTGGTGGGCCGGCTGCCTTTTCCGGTTATTTGTCGCCCTGGTCGCAGGGTCGCGGCTGACTTGCTGGACGGCCTCAGGGCTCATTGGCTTTCCGGCTCGTTTCGTGGTTGGGGCTGGGGGGCGGGGGGTGGGTCGGTAGTCTTGAGCATCGTCAGCATCAGGCGAGCATTACCATCTTATTGACTTATTGGCGTGAGCCTCGAGCAGGAAAAAAGAAGAAGACACGACCGAGAGAGAGAGAGAGAGAGAGAGAGAGAGCTCTAGAGAGAGAGAGAGAGAGACAGACAGAAAAAGACAGTTGGCAGTGGTCATAACAACAGCCCTTTCAGGCTTGTGCGAGGCAAGCGAGAATCATGAGTCCACGCTACGAGGTCGTTTTCAAATTTCAGCAGCACCTAGACCTACACCCGCTCAGTCGCTACTAAACATGTGTCAGCGAATCACTACCACAGCAGGACTTCAGGAATAGTTTTGATGTTGTATATAGCCAGCCGGCGACTCTTCTGCTGTTGGTGGCGCTCCCTCAGTAGTACTAGTCGTGGTAGTAGTTGTGGTAGTACTGCTGCGGCTTTTACTACTCCGAGTACTATTCCTATTGCAATTGTTGCTGCTGCTTCGACAACTATGACTGCTGCTCTTGCTGGTGCTGGTGCTTCTTCGCTTCTGCTGCTGCTGCTGTGGTCATCAGATTCTCGTCTTCTAGTCACTCGATGCCAACGACGACGACAGCAGCGACGACGAGGATTTGCTCCTCACGGTCTCGCTTGTTTTGGCAGATTTTGGTTTGCCTTGAGCTTCGGGCTTGCATGCTGTATTTTTTTGCGAATCTCATACAGGCACTGCAGCTTTTTTCAGTTGAGTCGGGGAGTCCTGTTGTAATTTCGTGCGACTGGTGCAGAGAAGTCCGTACCTTGACAACTCCACTGTAAGATGCTGAGTTCATGATTCATAATATAGGTAGATCCCAGGGCCGCAGCCCGCCCGAAGGCTGTAGGCCTGTATGTGTGAAGTGTGAAGAGCACTTGTTTTCAATCGTAGTCGTTATTTTATTGAGGGTCTGAGTCTGGCGACATGTTTCGCTTTGGCGAAATATCATGGATGGGGGCGAGTCGTTTTCAGCAGATGTTCGCTGTGTCTGGCTTGGAACTCTTTGGTCAAGGTCACTGCTTCAGAAGACACGCAGGGCAAGCAGCAGACTGAACCATGCATGTGATGATCTTTGTTTGACAGACGAGCTGAAGCCTGCTTTTGAAGAAGCTTGCAGAGGAGCCGCATACAACAGGTTGCCATCCAACGAATTCTATATCGTTGGTGCACTTGCTTTAAGACCCAGGGAGCGGTACCAGCATAAAACTTCAGGCAGCTTGGGCGATGCGGTTCGTCTTCAGCTGAGTCACTGGACGGTGCTTGCCGGTCGTCCACTGGACAACAGTGCTTTGATCTTCGATGTTGTGGAAGCACTGGAGTTGAGAACTCCTGTCGTGTGGAATACAATCTCTGGCCGTAAAGGGGGCTCGTTTTTTACAACTCTGGAAGATGGGCAGGAAGCAAAATTTCGGAGAGAGCTGCCTGCGCAGCACCATCCTGCTTTCGTCAGTGGGTGCAGTGGGTGCCATCGAGTTTTGCGATTGCCGCTGCCGTATGCGATCATGCTCATGCGAAAACAGTGGTTTACTGTTGCAGTGCCCGATTTGGTTTGCAAGTGGAACTACGACCCTTACGGCACGGACGGCGGCAGGAAATTTGTATCTGGCCTGGTTGGGGCCGGTCGCAAGTATGAGCGTGCTTGGGCAGCCCTCCGCAAGTTTGGGCCGAGACCAAAGGACGTGCCCGATGCATCTGAACCTGGTGAGGGTCGTGGTCACGGCGCTTCTTTATCCAAGCAGGGCCTGGATGTCGTGCATGACAGCAAGAAAGTCTGGGACTTGGCTGACTGTTTAGTGAGTTTGGGAAACGGTCGAGGGGACTCCGTGGATCCGTCGACGTGGCAGGACTTTGTCGCTGGCCTTCGGTTCCAGCATTGTGAAAGCTTGCTGTTGAGTGCGAGGCGGCATGCGTATGTTGCTGGAGAGCCGAGCCTTGCTTTTCGCATCGGCCACCTTGTGGAAACAATGCTTTTCGCGATGTTCTTGAGCAATGATTCGAATGTTGGCGAGGCGTTGAAAATGGCTGCATGCCTGCTGCTTCCACAGCAGCTTGCCATGGCGTGGATTGACAGGATATCGGCCGATCCTCAGAAATATCTGCCTTCGGCCTCGATAATGTCGCAGAGACGAGCAGCTCTGGACATTGGCTTTGCCAGGTTGCAACAAGACTGGTTGACAAACAAGCTGCTACAGGGCTGCTGCATCTTCGCCATGACAGATTCTTCCCCGCAGGGCGGGCGTGACTACGAGATCACAGTGCTCGACATCGTCGCGGCAGCTGATGCTCGAGACATCATGCGACAGGTTGATGCTTGGCGACGGTTCCCTGTCAGTTAAGCCAGAAGCATCGTCGGCAATCATGTTCAGATCCATAGGTTACCTGAGATTACAGAGAGGTAGACAGGGTTTTGTGTCAAAGGGCCGTGTTTGTAGAGGTTTGCAACACCTGCTCTGAAAATTTGCCCGCCGAGGCGGGATCACGTTCTTCCAGGTGACAAATGGGTCATGCCTATGTCCTATGTTGCGTGGGAAGATTGTTCAAATGATTCCGCCCCCCATAACATTGGGCGGGCGAGCCGGAAATGCTGCTCATCGCTTGTCCGCATTCTTGCAGTCATTGCTACTCATCAGTGGTGATTTCAAGACCTTGCAGAAAGTGCTGTCATCTCTTCTTAGCATCACGACAGACTTGGGCGTGGAGAGCTTGCTTACCAAGCTGGAGCCGATAGCATTGTCAGCTGTGCTGCCATATTTCGGCCCTGCTCCCACAGCAGCTTCTGTTGCTGAGGACAGTTTTGCTCCATTTGATTTTGTTGTGCTGCTTTCACCTGCCAGGTTCATTCTGAGGCTAGCGTGAGCTGTTCATTCAGAGCCGAGCTTTTATGGGATTCTTAACAGATTGTGTCAGTCATGAAATTCCGAAGCCTAAGCGGACCTAGTTGTCGGATGATCGCCCGAAGCATAGCTGGTTTTTCCTTTGCAGCGATAAAATCTTTTCTGCGGGTTGATGCTGCAGGACCAAGCTTTTCGAGTGCAAGCAGACGAGTCTCTGGACCAGGAGCCTTTCCGGCAGCAGGCGGAAAACTGCTTTGATGAAGAGCAAGGGGAGTCGGAGCCAGCAGACCTTGAAGTAGGCCTGCAATCATGCCGTGGTGTTGCAGGACTGCTGCACATAATCCACAATTCTGCCAACGATTTAGGGTCTTGCATGGAACACTATGATCAAATTGTGTCGGACATGGGGGCTTTGTCAAGTTTTCTCCGCAGTCGGGATTGCAAGGAGCGACTCATCGCAAAATGTTTTTCCAGCGGCCCTGCGGGTCAGTCTGAAGTTCGAAGCAAGATTGAGGCTTTCAATGCCGAGTGCTATCGAGAACGCTGGGGCACAGTGGCTCGGTGCGCCATCGAGCTGCACCATGTTCTCCCGGCACTTCGTCTAGGATGGAGCAAGGAGGCATGCCTGGCAGGATCATCTGTTCAATCGCGAGGTGTGAATATTGAGGCAGTCGACAAGTTGGTGCAATGCCCATGGTTTGAGAGCTTTTTGGTCATGTTGAAAGTGTTTTCATCGATCGTCTTGCATCTCATTCACTGGGTAGAGAGCTGTCCCTGCCATTGGCATCTATTGACGGGTGCTTCAGCGCAGTTGCTCAGCAAAGCAGACAGGCATCTCTTGGAGCAATGCCCCATGCGCACAGGGCGAGCCCCCGAACTTGCCCAGGGAGACTTCCTGAAGGAGCTGACGTCCTTCTCCTCTTATGCAGGTTCGGACTTTCTGCAACAATTCCCTGTTGAGCTTGAGGAGTCCCAGCAAGCGACCATGCTTCTTGGGCTTGCCCAAAGGGGTTTGTAGGATGCAAAGGGGAGGAGGGTGGGCCCCGAAAGAAAGTTTTAATTGATTTTATCAATACGATTTGTTTTCCGATTTTCCACACGCTTCTTTCATGAGTTTGCTGTAGGTCTTTCACATGCTTTCTCATGTCGACTTGCACCGCTTTAGTGCTCTGATGACTGATTCGATTATATCCGTGAAATAGAGGCTCCAGAGGAGGGAGCTTAGAAGTTTTAGACGGTGGGGGCGCGACCATGGGGTAGCTCCATGGCCACAGCTTCTGCGGAAGCCGGCAAAGGTCAGGCCTGCTGGAGTGTGTTCCCTGCCGAATGGATCGAGCGATTGCGTTCGAAGTATCCCCAGCCATTGGTTGCATTAGAGCTGCTTGAGAGTCCAGAGGGCTTCGAGGATGTGCTTGGAGTCATTTCTGGAAATGATATTTTGCAGACAGCACTGCTGCGGGGGCGGCTGCAAGCACTTCGTAATCAGTTGGCTGTCAAGAGGAAAATTGCACAATCACAGGTGAATGCGGGGTTCAAGAAGCCTCGTCTGCCTGTACACCAATCTGACTCTTCGAGAGCGCAGGAAACTTTTGCAGTTGCCGCGAATGCCCTGGTACCTTTTATCCGGAAGCGTGGAAAGTCAGGTTTGGGCAGGTCTCTGCTTGCTGTGGAAGATGATCCTGACATTCTTGAGTCCAGGGAGCGCGAGCGATGGGTGGAAGTTCTCAGTACATACATCCTTGATGCTCAGCTGCCTGTAGTCGCCTTGATTGAAGGTTCAGAGGATCGTCGGCAAGCCTGGCGCAGGGTGTTCGGAGCCCGGAGAGCCAAGACCTTGAGGAATCGTGCAAGATCCTTTAAGCATTACCGCATGTGGTTGGAGACGGTCAGAGGTTTGGCCTGGCCCTCACGCGTTTCAGATGTTACTGATTTTCTGGAGGAACGTTCGAAGGATGGCTGTGGGTTCAGTGTGCCTGGGGAGCTCCTGGCTGCTTTATCTGTACTGGAGTCCGTGGGCAGAGTCCATATGAGGGATATGCAGCAGGAAAAGGAAGAAAATACATGCGCTCCCAGTAAACTTCCGGCAGCCTGAACAAAGCAAAACCCACTTGCAACCAATCATTTCCTGAGAGCGAAACCTCACGGCCCACGTAGACCGGTACCTCGCGTGCCCTGCGACCAGGACCCGTGGTCTTGGTCCGTCTAAGTACTCCTGAAAGGCCGCTATCAGTGAGTGTCATACGCCCAGGATCCAACCATTGAACATCGTCAGCTCTCATCGCAGTCCAATGTTGTAAGGAAATCACCCAAGCAATGATTCGCGAGAACAAAGAAGCCTCCTCATCCAAAACATGAATTTCTAAAGCAATAAGCATGGCCATCGTATACAGCTTGGCTGGGCGGCGTGGCGCCGCACGGCCCTGCAGTTCCTCGGTGATGGATTGCGCCACGGCCTTGACTGACTGGACTTGTGGAATCAAGAAGCATCTGTCGCCTGAGATGCTGAATGTATGCATCAAGCGGGTACTTGCAGAGCTATCTGTGCCGCAGCGAGGAGAACATGCTTGGGTCAAAGGCTCCATGAGCCTGCTGCCTCAGGAGCTGTTGCCGTACTGGTCAGGCCATTCTGCAAGACATTGGCTGCCTTCTTGGGCGGCCACACTTGGGGTTTCAAAGCCAGATAGGGATTTCCTGGGAAGGTGGCAAGCTGGAGCGCATGAGAGCAATGAGTACATTGTCACTTCGCGGGAGGTGGTGCATCGTGTGCAGATGCAGGTCGTGGAAGGTGCTGCAGTGGGCCACTCCGGAGTAGATGAGCGTCCGCTGTTAAATGAGTTGCAGGAATTTGCAAACGCACGTGGGGTCAGCTTTGCCAGAGGCGCTGCCCGACACCGCGTGTGGCGGACGAATGACTCAGGACATCGTGCTTTGCTGCTAGGGTTTCCACTTGATTATGAGCATATCACCGAAGGGCTGGACGTGGAGGCTGCACTGGAGGTGACCGTGGAAGATGAAGATGGGCTAGATCCTGATGTCTCGAGCTTTCCTTATTGGGTCTCGATTTCGAGACGCAGCCAGTTTCGACGGCTTCATGCTAAGGATAAGTGCGGGATCATGCCTTGGAGTGTTTTTCGTGCGGAAGGCTTCAGAAGTGTTGATTCTGCCAATGCCGATGCCTGGTGTAAGACTTGTTGGAAGAAGGTTTCATGCGAAGAGGCTGCGGCCCTCTCAGGAAGTTTCTCCAGCACCGAGGTGGAAGAGCCTGAGCAAGCGTCTCAGGAAGAGTGACTTTCGCAAGGAGGGCCTAAATTGCGCGTATGTCCGGTGCACTTGCTTGTCGTCTGCTCTGCTCTTAGCTCCCTGCACAGATGTACTGTGAGCACTTGGAAGCAACTCGGAAGTTAGCTTTGCGGCTGAAAGACCAGAGCCGTAAGATTGGATGCTATAGGAGTGGCATCGTAGGGGCATGGCCGATGATGCGGCGCGTCGGGCATATGTTGCTCAGCATGTCAGTGCTGATCTTGTTTATGTGTGGGAGGAAATGGGCGTAAGCTTGCTGCATCAGCGTGAGCTCGGCGAGCGCTATCGCAGTGTTGCCCTGTTCTCTTCCATTGCTGATACGAGAGCGGATGCGCGGACCGCGCTCCGGGCTGAGGTGACTGTCGCTGATAATGCCGATGGCAGAGCGGCAGTGGCAGGTCTGGTAGCAGCGTGGCAAAGTTGCTACGACATGGCTGATCAAGAACGTCGGTTGAAGGCTGAGGCACATGTGCTTGGTCTTCCCAAGCCGCTCCCATCGAACGACCGGATGGGTATGCGTCATGCACTTGAGAGGGTCGTTGGCGCCTTGGAAGAGAAGGACGAACCTAGCTCCACGTATCTTGCATTGAAATTGGAGGAAGTTGAGGCGGGAGAACTCCGTGCTTCGGTACTTGATGAAGTGACCAGCGTCTCCGATGAGGTCAATGCACAGTTTCAATCCTCAGTGGACTCCTCGGGCCGGTTACGGCTTGTGAAGGAGCGCAAGAAGGCCAACCTCCCAGCTACTTCGGAGGAACTCCGTCAGCGGCTTCGTCTTGAATGTCATGCTTTTCTTATGCTGGCTGCTAGGTTCCGCACCAAGCCTTGGTTTGTGGACCTCCGGGTGCAGGACTTTACAAAGCATGTCGATTATGTGCTGGGAGATAAGATCTTTCTTCTGCAAATGTCTCGGCCTGACGGTGCCTCGGGCACACAATCGGTCAATCCTTCTTGGACTCTCTTGTTGGGCTTCGAGCATCGGCTCCGCAAGGAAGCTTACAAGCGTGCTTGCAGGGACAATCGTGATATCTCCACAACACTGGCGGAAGTCAGAACGGATGCAGCACTGAAAGAGACCTACTTTGTAGGTCCGTTGGCGCTGGAGCTGGCCAGTCGAGGATCTTCTTCCGCGGCACCGCCTCCGCCAGCGAAGTGGCCTCGGCTTCAAGATCATGTACCAGGTGCGGAAGCAAGTGCAAAGGGCAAGGGTGGCAAAGGTCGGGGAAAAGGGGGCAAAAGCAGCCTCCGCATCGGCTATCCTTCGGCCAGGGGATTCGTGTTTAGCAGCACGCCGGACGGGCGACAGATCTGCTATGCGTACAACAACGGAACTTGCAAAGGCGATTGCGGTCGAGTGCACGTCTGCCAGTTATGCCTGAAGCCCCACCCTCGCAAAAGCTGCAAGTTGCAGAAGGACAAGGGTGGTGCAGAGGACAATCAGCCAAACTGACTAGCCACGGATGTGGCCGTTTCATCTGCTTGGGAGTGCTGGGATCTGGAACCGGTCAAATCGGACAGGGCCTTTCATTTTCTGCACTTTTACTCAGGCGGTCGTCGTCATTCCAATGTCCGGGAATGTTTGCAGCGAGAAGCCAAATCACTCGGAATTCGATTGTATGGTCTGGAAGTTGATCTTATGGGAACCTCCCTTAAGAGCGACACTGGATCAGGTTTCAGTGCGGAATTGCAACTGTTGATACAGGAAGCTACCGTCATCTTGCTGGTCCCCGAGCACCTTCAGCAGAGCCAAAGCTCATTGGCGCACCGCCGGTGGGCCCAGGCCGCTTCGCTCTTTACAGTATGTTTTCGGGTTTCCTTGGCTGTCGGATAAAGATCGTTCTACGGTCGAGGAGGCTAATTTCGGGGTGCTGAAGTGCTTCGAAATTTGTTTCATTCGCCTTGAGCTTTGCAAGCCATTCATCTTTGAGCACCCGGAACAACTGGGCGCGGTTAACGATTTCATTCCTGCTTCGGTCTGGGACTTCGATGAATTCAAACAGCTTCTACTTCTGGACGGAGTGCAAACGGCTGCCCTCTTTCAGTGTCAATGGGGTGCACCTTCAAGTAAGTCCACTCGCCTTTTATGGAGGGGGACCCTATTTTTCTTGACCTTTTTTTTTTTTTCTTTGCCCTTTTTTTTTTTTGGTCGTGGGGCCTCGGTTTAAAGGCACAGCGGCGAACGCAGGAGCCGGGCAAAGGAAAAAAAAAAGGGCCAAAAAAAAAAAAAAAGGGCAAAGGAAAATTCTACACCCCCATCTCCGCGATTCGTTGCTCCACGACGATCCAGCCTCGCTGGAACGGGCCCTCCAGGCGGCGGGTGGCTTCACCACCTGTTGGGTTTGGGGGTCTACTCTCTTCCCGGTTGTATGGGCGCTGGACCAACCTGGTGTCGTCCTAACGCGTATCTTGGAGGTTGCGACCCTGCGACAACTTCCTAGTGGATGGCTACGCTCTGGGATCGAACAGGCAGCACAGCGGGGTGATACGCTGCAGGTTGCTACCCTGGTACGACATCTTCGAACACACCCCCCCTTGACATGGAGGCAGACGAAGCTGTGCCGGACCCTGGGCATCTCTCGCTCATTCCAGCGGTGAAAGCCGGCAGCGCTGCTGCGGTGTATGAGATCCTGGCGGCGGGCTACCCCACGGAAGGACCCCTACTGACGCGCGCTCTGCTGGCTGCAGTTGAGTCCACTGCCCCGCTTGAGACTTTGCGCCTCCTGCTGATTGCCAGAGCAGATCCGGGTTTCACCCGGCGAGGGGACGAGGGGGACGCTACGCCCTTCGGACTTGCAGTTTTCAATCGCATGTGGGACACCGTCCGCCTTCTCCTATGCAATTCAATTGCGCATAAGCCCGTCACTATGTTTTGACTGGCTCCTGTGCTTAAGTGGGGAGTGTAGTATGTGACGTGGTTAGCGAAATAACGTGCGTTAGCGGTGTCCGAGCAGCTCCTGTGCGTACACCGGCCACTCTGCATGCCTCCCCTGGCCAGCCGTTTATTGTGCGAGCCTGCTAGCTGGTCGGCAATTCTGCTGTACCGGTACCTCCTCACTGACGCCTTCCCCCGCATAGCCATGGCCCACCAGGAGCAAGCCCTTCCTGAGGCCTCGCCAGCGGTCCTGAGCCCGGCTTTGACCCTTCAACTGCGCGCTCGGAACTCTGGTGGCCGGTGGGAAGCCCTCAGTGCAGACACCAACGTCCCCGGGCACGACGTGCTGCAAATCAGCACCTCACAAGAGGTGGATCTCACCTTCGTCCAGTATGCTCAAGTGATTGCGGCCCTTCACGACTGCAACTTGGTGGTTATCGAGGCTAGCAGGCGAGTCGCTTGGCTCAAGTCGGTGCCGGGGGACCCACGGGTGGCGGCGAGCGGTATTGTCTCATATCAGGATTCCTCGGGACAGCGCGGCTATCAGGCTTTCTACCACAGCTGACCAATTGCGAATGGCCTAGTGACACCCGACGGGCAGGTATCGCCCACTGATGTTGAGGCGCAAAACGGGCGATTGGGGCGCCTGTTGCACGCTCATAGCCGTGTGGGGAAGCTTCCCGCCGTTAGCCTTGTTTGCTCAAGTGCAGCCGGGCATTCCGCCTGTGCTGCAATTGCCGCTAGGTACCTGACGGACCGACCGACTGCTTCCTATCGCGGTCAGTGCCATGACGGTGCCACACTGGCAGCGCCTCGATTCAGGAATCAACGTCAGAGGAGGGGACGTCTTCCACTATGACTACCGCCAGGATGGCTCCTTCACATTGTCAGAGAACGCCCTGGAAGTTACGCTCCTCCTT